TTAATATAATCACTTTCTTTTCGAAAGGGGGAGGAATGTGAGGTTGCAAATTCTATTTTTATTTCGTTATGGTTTTGTTTTCAGTTAACTTGTTCTTTCTATTGTTTAGTTAACCTATACAACTTTTAGTTTTACCTTTAAACACTACCTCTCATTCTACTTAACTACGTCATTTAAAGTTCCTAAATGTTGACTGACACCAGTTTCCTGTATCAGTAACTTGCAGATATTAATGTTTTAAAATATGTAAATAATTTTAATATCAATTTTTAATATTTACAATAAATTGTGTCACGAGAGATAGTAAGTGTTATCAGTTATTACTGAAAACTTTATAAAATGTAGTTTTGTACATAATGTATTTTCTAGTTCCTTTTATTTATAGAAACATTAATCCTGATGTTTATGGTATATTGTTCTTTGTTAGTAGAAAGTTCTTGCAATGGGGGAATATACATAAACTACATCTAAACTATACAACTAGTTTTATAAGGAGTCAAAATGACTTTTTGGAAACAACTAAGAAAATACCCAACATCACCTGCAACCGTAGAAGAACTAACAGAACTATTTACAGATATTAAGCAGACAATATTCAAAGTTGAAATACATCGGAAGCTACAGCGAGAGGCTTACAACCGTTAGTATCTTTCGGACACAATTAAAAGTAGTTAATTTACTAATGCTGTTATTAAGAACATATTAATTATCTTCTGTATTAAACTGACTTATTCTAAAATTTATTATAAGAACAATGGACTGTCTAAACTTATTTATGTTACTCCATTTTTTATATTAAAAAATCTGTTTAATGGTAGAACAATTTTACTTGTCTAAATTGAAGAAAAGATAATTACTTCTATATTAGAAAATGCTCATCGTTCTATGTCGTTGTAGAAAAAAGTGGCGTCAGAAGGCTTGAAGAGTGCCTCCCCCCTCTCTAATGAGATGAACTTCTTTTGACGTGTCCACATCTCATCCTTCGACTTAATGAGTCATTTGTGTCATCTGCCCAACCTAGATGGTCTTCAAACTCAAGTACTCCCTGTATGGTGAACCAGAGCAGGAATTTAAAGATCAATCTTTAGACTTAAGAGCATAAACAATTTGTGCTAGTATCTGTACTTAACTGTGAGGGATTCATGATGTCAGTATAACGACGGCCTTAAAAATAAGGATACGAAAATTGGGAATTTATAAGCAGTGATTTAATATTATCACATTCTTTGTCTAAAGCGGAAGGAGTGTGAGATAGCATATTCTTTTGTTATTTTGTTATGGATTTCTTTACCGTTCGTTTATTCATTCTATCGTTTAGTTAAGCTCTGGATTTTTATTTTCACTTAAACGCTAACTCACCTTCTAGCTAATCGCACCAATTTCTAATTTGTATGAATTGAGACTGACATCGGTTTCCCCTATCAGTGACGTGCTGGTATTAATATTGGTAAAGAGTATGTACAAGATTTGTTTAATTATTACAAATTAACTGGTCTTAGAACTCGAACTTCTTTCAAGCTGAACTAGAACCGAAAGAAAGTCGAATATATAAAAATGGTTTCTCCTTGTACTGTATCTGAACTTAAGCTGTGAAGGATGTCAGTATAATGTTACAAGTAAGGGCTTAATTTTAAACTGATTAATGTAATTACTTGTGAAGGGGAAAGTATGAAATAGAAAGTTTCATTTTATTTCGTTTTGGATTTGTTAATTTATTATTCATTTTATCATTTAGTTAATGTGTGAATTTTTAGTTTACATTTTAGTTATTCACATCAATTTAAAATTTTAATTATGAGACCGACACCAGTTTCT